TCCTGCAGTCTGGAGAAAGGGCTGAAAACGGTAAAATACATTTGAAAGTCCTTTAGTTTGTCAGGAAATTAATTGGTGAAATCGGTTAGACCCTGGCAGCCCTGTTTGTATTTAGTTGGTTACATTGTTTCCGGGTATTTCTAGTACGACAAGTTAAGCGGTTTATAAGATAAAAGTTAAGGAGAAACACGGTAACAACGACAGTCCTTTTTTGCCTCTTTCCTTTCTCTCAGACAAGTCTTTCACTGCCCGGCTCACCCAATCACATCACCCATCGGCGGTCGAGCCATTCGAGTATCATCGAGCAGCAGCACCCAAATGCCTTCGCCCGTACCTCCTGGACTCGGTCGGTCAGCAGGGGCTCTGCCTTTGACCGTAAGCCTCTGGTGTCCCTTCAGTCGTACATTGAGGCGCAGAAGCACATGCCCTTTGCCGATGACAGCGCCGCAGTGACGCCCATGTCCGAGGAGAGTCTCGCCTTCCCGGGCGTGAACGCCGCCGCCCTGTCTCGTTTCGCCTCGCGAACGCCCAGTCTGTCCAACTTTGAGTACGATCATGCACACGGCCATGCCTTTCGCTCGTCGATGGGCGCCTTCACCACCAATTCATCACGCCACTCCAGCTACTCCTCACACTCCTCGCACATCTCCTACACCTCCCATGGCGACATTTACGGCCGTCTGGGATTTTCCTCTGCCATCAGTCGAGCCGCCTGGCAGAGGGAATGCCAATTGAGGGCGAGGAGAAGGTCAAATGTAAGCATGTGCCAGTGAACCACCACTGCTTCCTAACATNACACGGCCATGCCTTTCGCTCGTCGATGGGCGCCTTCACCACCAATTCATCACGCCACTCCAGCTACTCCTCACACTCCTCGCACATCTCCTACACCTCTCATGGCGACATTTACGGCCGTCTGGGATTCTCCTCCGCCATCAGTCGAGCCGCCTGGCAGAGGGAATGCCAACTGAGGGCGAGGAGAAGGTCAAATGTAAGCGTGTGCCAGTGAACCACCACTGCTTGCTAATATGTACGGTATTGCCTGCTGTTTTGTAGAATTTAGAGAGTGATATCTTCCACAATGAGTGGCCTTCCAATGGACAAATATTTGACTCAAGTCGTCTGCAACTGCCAACTGGACCGACAACACCACACCAGAACACCTCCCAGTTTGTGATTGATCAACAGCCGAGGAGTTTAATCAGGCAAGACGTCGACATGCAAGGTTTGTTTTACTAAGTACTCCCTTTGCCATGACTTGACTTTAACTTGCCGTCACCACCAACAGACGTCATGGTGCTCAACGATATCATCGAACAAGCGGCAATAGACCGCACTCAGGTGAACGGGCCCACTGAAAGAGGTATGGACATACACTGGCACTAGCACTGCATCCTTTCTTGCATGCTTCTCTTTAGATAGTCGTTTCTGCGAGAATTTTGTAGCTCGTTTCTTTCACTTCAGATGAATTCATATTTGTCAAAGTGTTTTGTTCATCCTGGTGAACAGTGAACAAAATTGGAATGTCAATTGTTTGTATCTCAATCGGCATCTGTTGAATGCTCATTTTTCTTTGGTCAATGGATAGGAGGGTATTTTATTTTAGAAATTGCTTGACCAAATTTCATTTGAGCAGTTGCCATTGTATTTTTCTCCCGTGAATTTTTAATATCAAACTTGGCACAGCTCCAGTTAATACGTTTAGACAGCATGACCTGGTTTGAAATGATTCGTGCACTACTGGCCTGCATTCTATTTTGAGTAGATATCACTATTGATTATTTGCTGTAGATATGCCCTCTGCTGCTTCTCTCCTCTTTTTCTCGCGTCTATTGCTTTCCATTTGTGTGATCTTGTGACCGTAGAAGTAATGAATGCTCATTAAACCCTCCTTATAGTTTCCATATACTACTTTCCTACAGAAAGGACCCATTTTGGAGGCGATGAGGAGACGGAGTCGAGAGATCATCTCGGCTACGTTCCCGAGTACGCCTCCGAAGCAGGGTCCATAGAGGGCATGTCCTCTGTGTCCAGCTACGACCATCCGCCCCTCAAGGAGCGATTTGTCGCCGGCTGTCTCAAGTTTGTCGACATCCTCTGCGTCTGGGACTGCTGCTGGTGCTGGGTACGGGTTCAAGAGCTAGTCGCCCTCATCGTCTTTGACCCCTTCATGGAGCTCTTCATCACACTGTGCATTGTCGTCAACACGCTCTTTATGGCCATCGATCACTACCAAATGGACAAAGACATTGACCAAATTCTCTTCAATGGAAACTTGGTAAGCAGTATTTTTGATAAATTGTGCAACATTTTCATTCATCAGGTGACTAACATGACTTCCCCTTTTACTAGTTTTTTACCTTTATTTTTGGCATCGAAGCAGGCTTCAAGCTGATAGCCCTAAGTCCAAAGTTTTATTTTCGAGAAGGCTGGAACATATTTGACTTTGTCATTGTAGTTTTGTCCCTACTTGAGCTCAGTCTTGCATCGGTAAACTTGTCTGGCTTGTCTGTTTTGCGTTCATTCCGTTTGGTAAGCAGTTTCTTGTTTTGTGTAAATTTTCCACTTAATCCTTCTTAAACAACCTGATCATTATTGCAGCTGCGTGTTTTCAAGCTGGCCAAATCATGGCCCACTCTAAACTTGCTCATCTCAATCATGGGTAAAACTGTCGGTGACTTGGGTAATCTCACATTTGTGCTGGCCATTATTATCTTCATCTTTGCCGTCATGGGAATGCAGCTTTTCGGCAAGTACTACACAGCCGAAAAGTAAGATCTGTGCTCTAAATGTAAACTAAAGCTCATCATCTAACCATCTTAAATGTTTTTGGGGAAAAATAGCTTCAAAGGGAAGGACATACCTCGCTGGAACTTCTGTGATTTCATGCACTCCTTTATGATCGTCTTTCGGGTGCTCTGCGGCGAGTGGATTGAGTCGATGTGGGACTGCATGCATGTTTCGGGCAATGTCTGTGTGCCCTTCTTCCTCACCACGGTCGTCATTGGCAATCTGGTGGTGCTCAATCTCTTTCTCGCCCTTCTGCTCGCCTCTTTTGGCGCCTCCAACTTATCGGCGCCCTCTTCCGACAGTGCCGACACTAAGAAGCTGCAGGAGGCTTTTGATCGATTCTCACGCGGCGGAAAGTGGGTCAAGAACAAAATTCTTCAACTTATGAAGGTACAAAATTTTGTGGTTGTGATTGTGTTGACCGCGTTCACAGTAATACAACCTGCTCACACTTCTTTATTACAGTACATACGCTCTAAAACGCGTAATCAAATAGGCGATCAAACTGCCGATCGACCACCGCACGAAGATATGCTCGCAGACATGGAAATGACCATGATGACCACCACCTGTCATCACGGCGATGTCATCTACGTCGATGGTGGCCTGAGCTTGAACAAATCAATGGCGAACAATACCAGAGCGGTGGCAGACTCTGAGCTAGAGCTGAGACTGCTGAGAGCTTCGGCCAATCTACGCAACGGCGGAAGTGGCGCTAATGTGGGCAACCTCTCCAACCAAGCGCCAATGGGAAACAATGTGCAGGCCTCACTGGCGGTTCCAGGTGCAAACAATGCTCAAAACGCTGTGGGCCGATTGCCTGTCACCACAAATGGCAATGGCCTCAACTCGAGGGCATCTTCCACTGTAGCCACAGCGGCGCGTCTCCCACTCTCACAGGCTCAATCGGACAATGGAAACGAGGATGAAAGCGGCGATGAAAGTGCAACGTCCAGTGAGGAGGCGGACGCCGGTGAACACGAGACATCAGGCTCCAATGAAGAGCTACCGGAAAGTCGAGTTCGTCGGCGGCGGCGGAGAAAGAAAGCGCTCAGCACGACTCATTCCAGTGATCAACTGCTCAATTTGGAACAGCAAAGTCAGGAGGAAGGACAGCAGGGCAATGAGGGCAATGAGGTGCTTTCCCTGATGGTGCCCACTGGTTTTGGCGTTGGCCAACTGTCCAGCATGACGCCGAACATGCAAATGAACGGCGCCCTGGACACCTCCGCTACCAGCCTCAATGCCAGTGGAGACAAAATAGACACTGCCACTGCCGATGTCATAATCAGCGAGTACCCTGCCGAGTGCTTTCCCGACAACATGTACCAGTACTGCCCTTGGTGTCTGGCTGAAACTCCCTTCTGGATCAGGTGGAAGGAAATTCGCCTAAGATGCTACCAGACGGTGGAGCACAAGTACTTTGAGACGCTGGTCATTACGCTCATTCTCATCAGCAGCTTGGCCCTGGTAAGTTTTTTCTTTTTTAAACTTGTGGTTTTTATTATACTGTATTTGTTTGTTTTAGGCTCTAGAAGACGCCAACTTTAAGAAAAACCCTGTTTTCATGGAGTACCTTGCCATTGTGGACAAGTTCTTTACAGTGATTTTCTTTTTTGAAATGCTCGTCAAGTGGCTAGCATTTGGTTTTGTCAAATACTTTACCAATGCCTGGTGCTGGCTTGACTTTGTCATTGTCATGGTAAGTGATCCTTTTTAACATTTTATACTTTTCTTTTTTGTTTTTGGAATCGTTTTTACCATATCATTTATACTTCAATCTACGGAGCCTACTAACCATTTGACTATCAACTAACTTATAATTCAGACAACTGGTGGGCAGAAATTGTAGGCTAGCTAGCTGATTACCATTTATAAGCAGTTTTAAATTGACAGTTAATGACGAAAATGATTCATTTTAACCTTAATCAATCCATTTCCAAAGACATCAATCTTGAATTTGTGTGTCAGCTTTCTGGGCTTGTCTAGAATACCTGCCTTCAAGACGATGCGGACTTTACGGGCACTGCGACCTCTGCGAGCAATGTCCCGTCTTGAAGGGATGCGCGTAAGTGTGTCACTGTAACACTCCCCCTACTCCTTTAGTCTTCTTAATTCATTCTCGTACCAAAAATTGCTTTCTGTGCATAAACAAAACCAACCTTTCAAATGCAGTCTGTGCCAATTGATGCCTCATTTTATGTGTTCATATATTCCCTAAGTGTCCTCAGAAGTGCACCCACCGATTCTGAAGAATGAGAACCCGAGTTCAGCGCCGGTGCCTAAATGTGCATATTAGCAGGCCTCATCTAGTGTCAGTATTTGCAGTAGATAGTGCTAGTATACTTAGAAGTAGTGATACTAATAGTTTGCTCTGCCTACAATAGTAGTTGATATCAGTTGAATGTGCTCGATATGACATACTTACTCCTGTAACCTGGCTCCGTTACCCTTTCTTCTGTTCATTCTCTGACCGCCCAAATCTTTCTCGACTGGTTCTTTACGTTATTATTTTCTTTTTATTTTTTACATTTTGTTCTCATCTTTTATCTAACTTTTAACTTTAAATTTCCCCTACCTTTCCGCTGCTAAACTTGTGCATCGAACTCTCGCTTCCTCTCTATATTTTTCTTTTTTATTCGTATCTTCGCTTGACTGATTGATGCTTGAATGCGCTCTTCGACTCTTTTGTTGCTCTTTCCTCAACAAGGTTTCAGTTGTAAACATGGTAGCAAACTGGATGAACATTGGTCGAATTAACGCCTTTAAGACAATGCGGACCTTGAGGGCTCTTAGACCTCTGCGCGCCTTGTCACGATTTCAAGGAATGCGGGTATATCAGTTTTTATACTTTTTTATTATACTTTTGCGTGTTGTGTGATCACCACCTTCTCACTACTTTGCCAGTCTTGTTCATGTTTGGGTCAAACAGTTCTGTACGTTGTTGTTTGCTGTGCTCTCTGTGTGTTCTAATATTAACCCTTGCACCCCTTCTAATTTCCTGCTTGTTCCCTTTGTGTACCCTGCACATGACTTTGCATGTGTTTGAAATTGCATGACTGCATGTATGTGTGTGCGTGTGTAGTGCATGCCTTTTGCATGAATCCATTGCATGAATCTTTTTCTTGTACACCCATTTGTGCATTTTGCTGTCCTTTATTCCACCCCCATTGAACTGCATCTCAATAAACTGCATGCAATCTGTTTCTTTGGTTTAGTTCATTAACGACCGTTCTCCTTTCTCACCCTAAAAGGTGGTCGTTAATGCTTTAGTACAGGCCATCCCAGCCATCTTCAATGTGCTGCTTGTCTGTCTCATCTTCTGGCTCATTTTTTCCATCATGGGCGTACAGTTGTTTATGGGAAAGTTTTACCAGTGCATTGATCGGACAACTCGCCAAAAACTGAACTCTTCATATGTGCCCAACTACAAAGCTTGCATTGCCCGAAATCACACCATATGGTTTAACCCTCAAATTAACTTTGACAATGTTCCTAACGCATATCTCGCACTTTTCCAAGTGGTAAGTTTGTTGATTTTGATAACTTGTAAAAATGATACACAAAAAAATTTTTTTGTAGGCAACCTTCAAAGGGTGGCTAGACATCATGAACAATGCCATCGACTCGAGGCAAGACCATCTCGACCAGCCAGAAAAGGAAGGCAACATTTACATGTATCTCTACTTTGTCTTCTTCATTATGTTTGGTGCCTTTTTTACGCTAAATCTGTTTATTGGTGTGATTATTGACAACTTTAATGAACAAAAGAAAAAAGCCGGCGGCTCACTAGAGATGTTCATGACAGAGGACCAGAAAAAGTACTACAATGCAATGAAGAAAATGGGCTCCAAAAAACCTATGAAGGCTATTCCTCGACCAAGGGTAATCTTCTATTTTATGAGTATTTAGATTATACTAATCCTTTCTTACTTCTTCTTCAGTTCAAACTGCAAGCTATTATTTTTGATATAACAACAAACAAAAAGTTTGACATGATCATCATGCTTTTCATTGCTTTGAACATGATCATTATGTCTATGGATCAGTACAAGCAAGAGCGAACCTTGGGAAGCATTCTTGAAAGCCTCAACCACTTTTTCATCGTCATTTTTACCAGCGAGTGTTTGCTCAAAATATTTGCTCTCCGGTGGCACTACTTCAAGGAGCCTTGGAATATGTTTGATTTTGTTGTGGTTATTCTTTCCATTCTGGGTAAGCAATTTTCGCGTTATATACATCTCAATAATCAGCTTTCTAATACACATCATATTACCTTTGCAGGTGTCTTACTGAAAGACATTATTGCCAAATACATTGTGTCTCCCACTTTGCTTAGGGTGGTTCGCGTTGTCAAAGTCGGTCGAGTCTTGCGCCTGGTCAAAGGAGCTCGAGGCATTCGAACGCTGCTCTTTGCACTGGCCATGTCCTTGCCGGCTCTCTTCAACATTTGTTTACTACTTTTTCTTGTCATCTTCATCTACGCCATCTTTGGAATGTCCTTCTTCATGAACGTCAAACAACGCTACGGCATCGATGAGACCTTCAACTTTAGTACCTTCTTTAAGTCTTTTATACTGCTTTTTCAAATGTCTACTTCTGCCGGGTGGGCCGAGGTGCTGGCAGCAATCATGGACGACCAGGACTGTACACCGACAAGGGGCGACAATGAAGGGGACTGTGGCAACAAGAGCATTGCCATTGTCTTTCTCATCTCCTACCTCATCATTTCCTTCCTCATTATTATCAACATGTACATTGCCGTCATCTTGGAGAACTACAGCCAGGCAACTGAAGACGTGCACGAGGGTCTCACTGATGACGACTACGACATGTACTACGAAATATGGCAAAAGTTTGACCCAAAAGGAACGCAATTCATTTCCTATTCGCAGTTGTCTGACTTTGTGCACACTCTAGAGGAGCCGTTGCAAATCCCCAAGCCAAATAAGTTCAAATTGATCTCTATGGACATTCCTATCTGTGTGGAGGACAAGGTCTACTGCGTGGACATTCTCGATGCACTGACGAAAGACTTCTTTGCGCGCAAAGGTCACGTCATCGAGGAGTCTGTTGAGCTGGCCGAAGTGGCGCCCCTGAAGATGGGAGAGTTTGAGCACATCAGCAGCACACTGTGGCGTCAGCGAGAGGTCCACTGTGCAAGAATACTCCAGAAAGGCTGGCGCGACTATGTGGCTAGCAGAAGAGCAGGTGAAACGGGGCAAAAGTTGGATCGAATAGAGGAAGGCGACGAAGAACAAAGTGCACCCAGTGAACGCCACGAAATGTAATTTTTACAATTAACAATTTCCTCTGCGCTCGCAAAGTCCGGTAGCCAAAGAACAAGTCCATTTTGACATTCGCCCTTGCCCTGATGTCCATTTGTCCATTTTCGTTGCACCTACTAAATCTTGAATCCATCCACGTGACTACCACTTCTTACCAGCTTCTGTACTCTGCTCGATTGACCAACGATCAAAATTTAATTTACTCAAGAAAATTGTGTGTCATGTTTTGATCACTTACTGTAATATAATTTCACTACCTGCTCTTTGCGCTGTTGTAGTTCCTGTTACCACTCTGCTGATCGTTCTCTCTACAATTGGAAGTCCTGACCACTTCGACACCTTCTGCAGTCACCTTATCACTGTTGTTGAATATACTATTTTTCTATTTCTGTTACCCCAAAGAGGGTGTACTGCCAGAATGTTGTTCGAGGATAGAGACGATGGATTACCCAGGGTGGAACAGTGTGGCCACAGCAGTCTAATGTGATAACCCATTTTGATGATCTTCTACACTACCAGCATTTGAACTCAGTAGAACTCTCAATTCCTACTAGTCACCTTGTTTACTCATACTTGTTCACCAACTTTGCCTTTGCAAAAAACTGTGCACTTTTATTTCTTTTACACACACACAAACACAAACAAACACACATTTTGCACTCTTGTAAACTGTTTTACTTGATTGAAGCCCAACAATGCTTGAACACTGATCTGCTGTTGGACTGATCACTCACTCGATCATTCATAATGCGGGCACTGGGAGCCGCCAATCAAAACTCATCTTTAATGAGCTTTTCTCTGCAATCCATATCGGCCATTCTTAGGCTAGTCCTTCAGCCCACTTGCTAACCACACAATTTAGTTTAAAACAGTCAACGGCGGGAACTAGGGCCTGCTCGACTGAAACAAACTCTAGCCGGTTGATGTCTGCCGGTGGCACAAAATACCCTACAATACCAATTGGTACAAGACACTGTTATACCAGGAATAGTTTGACTATCCATTCACACACTCTCATTCCCCGCCACTTTTTTTCTTTTGTACATACTACCTGGTCTGGTCTGGTAGCCTCTTTTAGAACACCTCTTTTGTAGTTTAATTAATTTTGTCGTAACTTCCACTTTTAACAATCTGCTTTGTGTAAAATTGTCAGTGCCACAGAAATAGCGACTGAACCCATGTACTTTTCACCCCTCCACAACCACCGCCTCTCATTTTACCTTATACTTCATTTTTCTGTTCACTTTTTTTCAGTAACTACTTTGATAAAACTGCTTATATATATAAGTGTATATTTATATTGAACATTAAAGAAATTTTAATGAATTTTCTGGGCATTATTTTCCGCAAAACTCTCAACATGAAACTGGTTCAAGTGCATAATGCTGAATTGTGATTTGCATGTACTTTAGTGGACCTTTAATTAGCCTGGAAACAGTTGCACATTTTCGATTTGTTGAGTTTTTTTTGTAAGTGCACTAATTAATTAACAGATAATGATAATTACCTTTGATAATTCTAGTTATCATTTCCTGGACAAAAAACTTAACGATCATTAAATAAAAACACTATGACAATAATGCTAACCTAATAAAATTGATTTTAGCAGAATTCTTTCAATGCTCATCAACTGCATTGCTGCAGAATTATGACGTATTAAGATTGATATTATTATTAGCTGATTCGATTGCCCTCAACTTGCAGAAAACAATGTAAAGCAATCAAGGTGCTTCAAATGAGTGCTCCCAAGTCCTGAACTTGATCAGTCCGTGTAGAGCTACTTTGAGAAAAGCAGCACTTCTATAATGTCTCCTGTTCATCCGATGTCGGTAAACAGTGAAAACGGGACTTTTCACAGTATCTCTGCCAAAATGCAGTCAAATTCTACTAAAACAAGTTCCAACAACAGCAACAGCAACAACACCAGCACCAACCATTCAGGCTACTACAATAAGAAAAAGGGTGAAGGGGTTCTCTGCGAGAGTGAAGTCTACCTGAATCGATTAGTCAATTTTGAAACTATCCTCAGTGTCACCTATTTTGGACGACAGTTCCACCACTATCCTAACGCCTTCCTCCGACCTTTTCTGGTATTGTCATTGGTCTTTTACGATTTACTATGCGTCTCAGCTATGCTGTACCTTGAGTTCTATGCATTCAATCAATTTGTTTACTCTCGTCTCTTCCGACACACCTCATCAAAGCTAACGATGAGCATCATTTTCCGTTCAACAGGCATGCTTCAGGCTCTCTCTGGTTTGCACAACTAATTATTCAGCTTTTTCAGGTTATTGCATCTTTATCGAATACCTTTGCATAAAACTGTTGACACTTTTTAAAGGACCACCGTTGATAAGATCAGTGGTTGAACTTGGTGAGTAAATGGTTTGTTCAGAGAAACTTTTGTCTAAAAAAAATATTTTTGGTTAGGTCGAAATGTCCACTTTAATCGGTATTGTCTGAACCAGTACTACATCACCTATGTGGTTATCCTGACTGAAGTGACCATTCATTCGGTTTCATTCGTTCTCATGTTTAAGCCGATGATTGGTCAGGATGTTTCGGAAGAGCAGCGGTCTCTTTTGATAGCCTACTACGCCGTTGTTGGTGTTATTTACGGTGCCAACAAGAGTTGTATCTGCTCACTGCACATGATAGCCTCCATTCTCATCTGTAAACGCATTTCCGGTAAGTGAGGTTAAACACTGTATCTGTTGACAAATGTTTAATCAGTTTTAAAACTATTGTTTTTGTAAAAAAAATTAGATAACAAAGCCAACCTTCGAAGTTGTCCCAACTTTGGAGTCATGCTCGAGGACATGCTGCAATTGAAGAACCAACTGGAGAACTTTAACGACATCCTCTCGGTGACACTTCTCATCAAGGTCATCACCAACTCCATTCTCCTCTGTTCCTGTGTCTGCGCAATTGATGACCTGGCAAAGGATCCGGTTGTGCAGTGGGACTGCATCATTGCGCTGTCACTACTTTTTTTATCGCAGCTTTTTGACGAGACGATCAGCTGTGTGGCTTCGCAGAGGATCGCCAATGAAATGGGCAGTTTAATTCGAGCCATTCAGGAGCTGACCGCCCAGCAGTGCACTGAATTCCTGCACCTGACTGCAAACCCACGACCACCGTCTGCGTCGTCGTACCTCTTGTCGAGTACCAACAATGCTCTGAGTGGCCAGTGTCGAGCAGTGGAGGACGTCGAGTACCGATGTCTGCAGCACATTTGCTCAATGAGGGACTCCTTTCTCTACAATGTCCTGAACCTGTTTGACCTTCGTTCAGTCACTATTCTGGCCATTCTCAGCAATGTTTGTAATTACAGTACCATTTTAATTCAGGTAAAAACTTTCACCTTTTCTTGCAAATCTTCTCCACTCCAAGTGTGTAATGTACGCCTTGCTGTAACTCATTTTCTCTTTCTTTTTTACCTTTCTCTGCAGACCACCGAAACATGAGATGGTAGTGTGGG